CCCCCCACCACCGCTCGTTCCGTGACACCCCTACAACGAATGCAGCAATGCAGCATGAGCCAAGGAAGTGGCACTGAAACATTACAGCTTACCGTTTCATAGAACTGTGCCTGCTGCTCCAGATACAGGCGAATGACACTGTTGTAGTCATAAATCCGGTTACTGTGGAAGTGATTCATCTCAGCTGTAATGAGACCCAGAGAAAACTATTTTAAAGAAGCGTTTGTAATTCAGAACAGTTTCACTCATTTCAGTTTGGTTACTGTGTAAATAAGCTCAGTGCTCAGCCCTATCAGTATAGTTATTATTTTCACATTTGCACAACTCCTTTGGTTTACAGCACTCACGTCAGGATGGAGCTGCTTGCAAAACTTGTAGGGTGTCCTTTACTCACTGATCAAATGTGGACACTCTTGGATAAAGCCAGGTGCTTGATACAGTATTCAAGAGTACAAAGAAAACAACCATGATTTTGTCCTATTGAAACAGCAACATTTTTCTCATGTTTTTCAAAGAAATGTTAGCCAAGGCAGTCAGATTTGGAAGGTATTAAATTGCAAGGCACAACTATTAGTAATTAGCTCAAAGGCAGCACATCCAGCAGTGTGCACCTGTTCCCGAATGAGGCTTTTTCAGTAAGAACTTAATGAACAGCTCCACTGAGTCTATAAAATTTTGCATCACTTATGTATATGCACCTTCCAATAGAATTGACCCAGACTGCGGACCTTGCCAGGTCACTAAACAAGCCAGTTTGACTTATGGCCAAAACAAAGAATTAATTTTTTTTTCCTCCTTTGATACATCCCTAGAGTTTTTTTTGTTTGTTTGTTTGTTTTGTTTTCTAAGTCTCACCACTAAAGCTGCTTGAAAACAAACAAACAAACAACAACATCAACAAACCCCACAACTCTCAGAAAAGAATGATCCCACTGAAGTCAGTAACATGAAACACTTTGCATCCTGCAGGACAAACCCTGGTTCCTTACTTTTCCAGTTCTTCATGTCACTGTGCTACACCTTGTGCTTGCAGTATTTCCAACAAAGATGAAAAACTTGAGTGACATTCAAGAAACATCCAGTAAATAGAGTCGTATCCACAAGACTATTAACCTCAGCAAGATCTCGTCTAAGCTATGAGTCAGTAAAGTATTTGTGCAAGTGCTGACCTGCTTCCTGCATCTGGGCCCAAACTCTTTATTTCAGAGACAATGGCATTTGAAAATGAAAAAAATGGTTGTCTGAGGCTGTTCTTCCTCTTTTTAAAGATTGTGCTTCCAAAATAAAGAATATGAAATCTGAGAACAATAATGGATAAAATAGCTATAATTTTAGAGGAACAAACAAAGGGTAAAAAAAAAAAAAAAAAGGAAAGAAAAAGCTATGAATACACTGACCCTGTCAAAAAAAAAAAAAAAAGAAAAACCCAATAGCTCTCATTGTTGTTCCTGGTAGAGTCAAGTTGTCTTTCAGAAGTCTGCAGTATTGTCAACTAGCCTGTTTTACCTTGTAGTGCATAGGCCATGGTGCTCACACGTTTCACCATGTTCTGTTTGTCTTGTGGCGTTATTTTACTGGTCGCAACTAACTTGTCGCTTTCCTTCACTTTTTCTATTGCTCCCTGTAGAAACCAAAATACAGAAAGGTTAATAAAGCAATCAGGGCCACTAGCCACATTTTGGGTTTGCACACTGTACATACAGAGCAGCCGATTCTGCCTTCAGGCATTTGCACCTGAAGTTTGGTAACAGTGCAAACAGCTTGCAAGAAGTGACTTCAAAACAAGACATGAGCTCAGTCAGAAAATGAGTTTGCTAAAGAGGGGAATATACAGGGAAGAACATAAGAAGTACAAAAGGGCCAATTTTCAACACACAACTGGCTCTAAAATAATACACATCCACAAGCTTCAAACTACCAGATACCCGTAGAATCCTACTTGTGCATTCTGCAGCTTGTAGACAAAACACTTTTCCCAAAAGGCCCCATTCACTGTGGTATCTGTGATGCAAGGCTTCTCCCAGATCAAAAATTAAAAACAAAACAAACAACAATATAAATAATAATAAGAAACAAATAAAACTCTGCCCCTCTTCACCGTGTATTTGTAGTGCACTTCCCTTTTTGAAACATGCAATAGCCAAGAAAAACTACATGTCTCTCTGTATAAGTTAACGCTTCAGGTATTAAAAACACTTCTTCTGCATTTTATTTACAGTATTTCTTTCAAGTATTCTGTGGGGTTGGGCATCTTAAATATTCAGAAGAATTAAGTTTCTGGAATAGCCATAAACCAGAAGCGTTTTTATAGCTCTTTGCTACTCTTGTAGCAATCAAGAGCATTCATTTCATGTTTAACACTTCAAGTGGTTGAAAAACACTTGTGTTCTTGTTTAATAGTTAAAATTTTAGCTTCTGAAGCAAGTAATAGCCGTCTCAAACATGTGGACAATTCTACAAGAAAAAGAGAAAAACAGAACACACAGAACTAAAAATAATGGTTAAATTACCATGTTACAGAGCACTTTTTTGGCTCACTGTCCTATTGCTCTATTTTTAAAGATTAAAGAAACAAGTGGTCAGTGCATGGCTGGATAACACATACTGTTAAGTCAGCTACTTAAATGCAGGCTTTTTTCCTGCTGTACTGATATGTTTTAGTGTCCATATGAAATTCAGCAATATTATAAATCAATATTACTGCTATTCACCATTTAGGGATGTGAAGTCACCTCAAAGAAAACTCTGAAGCTTGTTGAAGAAAACTCTGTAGCGCTCTGTTACAGCAGCAAATCATGTTATTCTCAAGTCTAAGATGAATTCTTTCCTTCCCCTCTAAGTATTTATTAAAAAGAATAAGCAAGCAACCAAACAAAAGCTTCACAGAAGCTTTGCATGCTACTGGCAGCAGGTGCCAGGCTTCTGTGGAAATGCAGTCTAACACCCAAACGCTTCTGTTCTGTGATCTATAGGTCTTGCTACTGCCTTCCTGAGGCAGGCCTCCTCCCACACACACTCACCTTATGAGCTCCTATGATGTCAGGGAAGCAACCAAGAAATCCCTTATATTCATGATTTGTTTCCATCAGAAAGTGAAGATCTTTCTTTGGCTAATAAACAAAAATGTAACGTTACAAAAAATTCTGTGGCATATTAGTATCACAGGCGCAGAAAAAAAGGCAGAGAAGAGAGAAGAAAGAGAAAAAAAATCCAACCAAACACTCAGCTGCTTTTTGAACTTTTTCATATTTAAACAGGTGTTTGCCTGTTTAAAAGAAGTATTTCAAGGTAAAGGGAAGAGTTACAGGATTCTGAAAACAGCATCAAGATGAAGCATTAAGCCTGGCTGCGCTCGTAGAGGAAAAAATCTTGCCATTATTTTTAACGTACAAGGGTAGGTAAGTGCATCACTGACATTGTGCATCACTGAGCAGGTGCCTTGGGTCTGTTTTACTCAGTATTGGCTATGAAGTGAGGGGGTTTGTCTGATTTCTGCTGAAGGGCAGCTCCTAGCTACAGTAATGGCACTATTAAGCTACAGTCTCCTCGCACAGAGAGATGTGCCTGAGCACAGATGCATCTCCTTACTTGCTGCTTCGGAAAGTCATTTTAAAAATAATTCCTGGACTCAACACTAAAATCAAGATGCTCTGCATTTTGGTGACTTTAAACTTCAGACTGTAAACACAAGTTTATGACTTGACAACAGACAAATTCTTCAAGCTAGATTACAAAAACTGAAGTTACTGAAGCAGACAATTGCCCGTCAGTGTGTAATGAAGAGCAGCAAGACCAGCATTCTGTGGACATTTGAAGAAAGCAGGGAGAAGAGGGAAATCCTCTCCTTGATCAAATCTCACTCTGTGGCATCTGTAATGAAGATGGCCCACTGACATCAGAAAACAAAGCCATTTAAAGAGGAAACAGCTTTTGAGTATTTTAGAAACCAGAAAAGGTATCTTTTTATTCAAAAAAATGTTTTCCCATTTTTCTATCACTTCCCACAAACTGATGTGTAGTAGAAAAGGGAGGTTGAAGATACATTTAAAATATTAATAGTAATTTCACTGAAGTCATCAGCAGCTCTAGTATTTATTATATTTTAATAGAAAAGGAAAAAAAAGGAAAGTCAAGTGAAGTAAATAAGAGATAAGTTTGCACACACTGTGCAATTGATACATTACAAGATTTCTACCTGATCTGCTACAAGACTGGCAATTTCTTCATAGGTTTTTCCTGCTTCTGTTATTGCTTCATTGAGATCAGATTCTCCTAAAAATAAACATGAGTGCTCAAATTAAAATAAATCACAGACAAGTCATAATTCAACCCAAATTCAAAAAAAAGAGGAAAAAAAAGACTTATTTTACAATAATAAAACCCTATGCATCATTTTATGTCCCAACACAATAAAGAATTTAGGTAAGTGTTGTTATAGCATTAAAAAAAAAAAAAAAGATCTTGTAGAAAATGAAAGCTAGGGGAGCCATTTAAACACTGCTCTACTGTAGTAGTGGCACTTTTTGCTTCCATATGTACCTTAACTAGTTATTCCCAAGCACAGGACAACAGGAAGCCTGCCAGAATGGAGAAGGGAAGGAGGAGAATGAAGGGGACACTAGAGGACACCCCACTAGAGGACATACTAGTAAAGCTGCAGAGAGCACCTGCCATTCCAGTCTTTAGGTGACTTCCACACCTAATGAGCAGTAAATCCTTTACTGTGCCCTGCGCAGCAGTGATGATAACCCCAAGCACCCCAGCAGTCCTGGACCACAGTTATTAAAAGGCCAGAGGGAGAGAAAAACAGGCCCAACTTTCTTCTTGTCAACAAGATTTCTGTGACTTCAGAGAACACTTATATTGTATTTTCAGAGTTTATCTGAGAGACCATTTCTAGTCTTCATCATTATGTAAAACAGATCAAGACTCCCCAGAAACTACAGCTAAAAGCACAAACATCACCACAAATCCCAATTAGACATCACAAGAGCTATTATTATGGCTACACAGAGCAAAGATGAAAACAAGTCTTACATGTCACTTCACCTTCTAAAAACACCAGTGTCTTTCCATCCTTGA